TCTAATAGCTTCTTTATCATCATCTTTATTCCACTCTTCTTCAGGTTTCATAGTTTTAATTCCAGTCTCTTTCCAATTTTTGTCAATGTCCTTCACAATATGATACTTCTATCCTTTCAAAATAGCCTTCCAGACTTTGTTGCTCATAGCTTTCAGAAATATTATCATTCTAACTTTCCACCAATCATAGTTTGAACCATCCAACATGGGTGGTCTGTTGTTATATCCTCCTTCTTTCTCTATAGTGCCAGAAAATATATCCCTAAAATCTCACCCAGTAAACAGAATCGGGTGTCTGCTCTTGATGCTAATTGAAATTCTAGTATGCACAATAACAAAAGTCAAGACAGATGTCTCAATAACACACAATGTCACAACAGATGTTATGACATTTGCTAACAGAACAACAACAAGATAACAACAATGTAGAATTATAACTTACAAAAAGTAAAGGAACACACATAATTGTTAAACTAGATCAGTGTAAACTCATCTACTCTGAGGGCTACCAAGTCAGGAAGGAAATCCACTATTAGCAGTATTAATTCGAAGCTAAACTCCCCCGTTTACAACTTCTCACTTAATTTCTACCCAATACAACTTCTACCTAGGAGCTTCCTAGATATGAGAATCTACTCACTTCCAATCACCACAGTGATATCAAAAAATCCCATTCCTAGGGAATGTCTCAAGAAACCAAAAGGGAAGAAAACACTTCCAAATTACATATACTTAGTTTGCTTAAAAGCTTCACCAAGAACAATACTTAACTTTTGCTTAAAATCTTTGAGGAGAATAATAACTTGATAAACAAGTAACAATCAATCAACTCTAATGCATCAAAGATACATGGGGACATACAAAAAAAAAACACGAAGAACCTAAGGACTATCAAACCCTAAACCCTTATTTTTCACAAGATTTTACAAATAAAAACCATGCTTAAAAAACTAGGTCTTGGACGACTCCTTATATGGTCTTCTACAGTTGGGCTTGGACTCTTCAATTAAATATAAAATTTAGCTCTAAATATATGTTGAATATTCTCCACGAAAATAGAAACAAAAAATAAATCTTTCAAATATTTTCTAAAAAGTCTCAAGGATCCTTTTTATGAAATAAATCGGATATGCAATTATTCCTAACAATTCTTGATTGGTTCTGCCTGTTATGAGTACTAGAAACCTTCAGAATTTTATATTTTTCAATCAAATCTTCAATGATAAATATCGAGATGTACTAATATGATGTTTTATAACATCTGATAGAACATATGTCAAATAAGTACCTGCATATACTGTTGTACCAGCTGGTCAAAATGTTATGACATCTTGCTCAATATTAGGCTGCAAAACATGTTCTCCCAAATAGAATATGTTGATAGATTTGTTATCATCTATTTGTTTTACAAAAATTGTTGTCAACCATAAAATCACAGACCTAACAAAGATGGTGTGTTAAGAGAAATTTCATAATTCAAGTGTTGTAACCGGTCACTAATGGTGTGTAATCGATTACAAGCATGTGAAAATGTCAAATAAGCTAAAGAAAAGTGATTTTAGCGTTGGTGTAATCGGTTACTCATTCGTAGTAACTAGTTACCATTGTTTGTATTTTTAGAGTTTTTAGTAGCTGTAACTGGTTATATGTTTTGTGTAACTTATTACAGGCACACGAATTTTAGCTTTCAGTTATTTGATGTTATTACTTATATCTCAATCCACTTGTAATTGCTTAAATACCTTAGAGGTATTATTATCAATGTTAATAAAAAAAATTCTCACCCTCAAATCTCTCTCTCTCTCTCTCTCTCTCTCTCTCTCTCTCTCTCTCTCTCTCTCTCTCTCTCTCTCTCTCTCTCTCTCTCTCTCTCTCTCTCTCTCTCTCTCTCTCTCTCTCTCTCTCTCTCTCTCTCATCCTCTCTATCTCTTCTCACTCTCGACATTCAAACCCTCATTTTCACCAACCAAGTGATTCCAAATTCTAACACTTTTTTTATATTAAGAGCATTTCTTCCTTTTATACTTCTGGTTTACAAGATAATGTTTATAAACCATTTTATGAGATCTGGTTTGAGGAGCCATCTGCTTCACAAACGTAAGTGGATCCATAAGGAAATATATGAGAAGATGAAAATTAAAGTTTTAATATAATAAAAATTATAATCATGTTAAGACAACTTAGTTAGTAGTTGTGTAGGGACATCAAGTGCAGGGGGCAAGTTAGAACCCGCGACATCCCACTTGTTCATTTTTTTGGAGTAAATATTACTTTATTAAAACCAAAAAATGGTTAATACAAGTCGATCTCATAAGATCCAGGAACTCACCATAACAAAGCACTACAAAACTAATCAGTTATCATAGTGTTTCTATATATGTGTGTGATAATAGTCCTATTGGGAGTGCATCTGGTAACTATGGTACTCTTAATGATATCCATAAGTTCTTGATCAATACCATCCCGAGCCAAAATAATGGCATTCCATGACTTCCAAATCTCATATAGGGTTTCTGTTATGGCTATCTTAAGGATATTTCTCTTCCAACCTTTGCCTTTAGTTTGTTGAGTGATTCACATGCTCTCATGACTCTAATATTTGGGCATTATATGATAAACCATCCACTGTAGGATCCCTTTCCAAATGTCTTTAGTTAAATTACAGTAAAAAATAGATGATCAAATGTTTCATTCTTATGACAAAATACACAAGTATCATTTGTAATCTTATCAAACTTCAAAAAAATTTCTTTGGTACTGAGTTTACCCATCAGGGCCAGCCACAAAGTGAAGATATCCTTTGGTCTAACAAGGTTGCCCATGAGAATTTCCTTCCAGGTCACATGTTATTTGTCTCCCCTCAAACATTTATACATATGTGTTGTTTTATTTGTACCTGTTTGTATCACATCATTCCAATAGCTAGTTTGAAGCATCTTCTCATTGCATTTCAAAATTCTTTTCAGCAGCCTTAACACATTTGTGGTTGGCTTCCAATTCATCACATCTCGACCTTTGAGATAGTAAGTGCTAATCCATTTGACCCAAAGCTTGTCAGCTTTAGCCTGGAGGTTCCAAGAGAGCTTACCAATATTAGTTTGGTTCCATTCCTTCAAAAAGGTGATATGAAACCCACATGTATTCTTAGGATTACAAACAACATCCCAAGCTATAGGTGATTTTCTACTCATCTCATTTGTGTTGCTCCATAAAAAGTTTCGGCAAATAACTTCAATATGCTTAAGGACACATTTAGGGATGGAAAATACATGCATCCAACATGCAGCCATTGCAAAAAGCACACTCCGAATGAGTTTTTGCCTACCTATATAACTCAAAATCTTTGTCGTCCAATGTCTAATCTTTCCAATAATTTTATCCACTAAAGGTTTGCATTGTTGCACAATGATTTTTCTGTTGGAAAAAGTAACTCCAAGCCCAAAGTATTTAAAAGGTTAAATGCCATCATTATAGCCTGTTATCTCTAGTAATTCATGTTGTAGGGACTCATAAACTCCTCCAAAATAGACCTTGCATTTAGTATGGTTAGCCATTAAACTAGTGGATGCAGAAAATTTGTGAAATTCCTTCATCATAAGAGTGACTGATTCTGCATCACCTCTAGTAAACAATAATAAATCATCAAAAAAACATATATTAGTAATACCAATCTTTTCACACTTGGAGTGGTAGTTGAAGTTGGGTTGGGTTTGTAGCTTTTTCAAGCATCTATGCAAATACTCCATTATCAACACAAACAACATAGGTGAGAGGGATCACCTTGCTTGAGGCCCTTCTTAGCTTGCAAGCAATTGCTATGATTACCATTAATGGAATACCTATAGGAAATTGATGTCACACAAACTGTAATCCAGTTGATGAACTTAAGAGGAAAATTCAACTCTCATAATTTCCCCCAAGACTCTCCACTCCACAGTGTCATAAGCTTTTTGCAAATCAATTTGAATAACACATCTATGTGAGATGTGATTCCTAGTGTACCCTCTTAACAACTCATGAGCAATAATAATGTTATCTTGTATCAGTTTGCCTGGAACAAAAGCAGATTGGCTTTCATTTACCACTGAGCTGATGACTTTACTTAATCTCGTGGTCAAAATCTTGGAAATAATCTTGTAGAGGGTAGTGCAATAAGCAATGGGCCTCATCTCCTTCATGGTTCTTGCATCAGAGGTTTTCAGAATTAGTGTAACAAGGGCACAATTAACTGCTCCATACATCCTTCCATGATCAAAGAAATCATGAATAAATGCCTTCACATCATTTCCCATAACATCCCAAGTTACATTGAAGAATTTGGAATTAAAGTCATCAATATCGGGAGCCTTAGTATCACCAATGTTTTTTAGGACTTGCCAAATCTCTGGATTTGTCACAGTCTAAGTTAGTTCTTCTCTTTATTGTTCTTGCACTTGAGCTCCATTACTCGTTGACACAACATCAATATAAACAAGCTATGATAAAGATTTGTCCACCAACTTTCTTTTTCAATATTTTTATCACCAATAATAAATTGACCATTGAGATCTTCAAAATTGTAAATACCAAAAGAAATATATAATAAAAATATAATAAAGTGAACACCAGCAACTGGACTATTTACCCAAAAAATATATATATATATAATAAAAATGATAATTATTAATTCATAATTTTTAAATGATTTTTAAAATGATAATTTTAAGTAATGTGGACATTTTTTTAATACCACATAAATTTGCCATATCATTAGTTGTTATGTCAAGTCATACACTCAAATAGAGTGCGGACAAAAAAAATTAAAGGAGAAGAATTAAAAACTTGATTTTAAAATAAGAGATAAAAAATTATATAAAATGAGAGGATTAAAATTGCATTTAACCAAAAATTTATTAGTAAAATATGAATTATTTCAACATACTAGCTAGAGTAGTATATAAAACCATTTCATAAACCTTGCAAAATCCAAACCAATAACCAAATCTCAAGGATTTAAAAACATGGCACAAAATGAGAATGATGATATGGCAATAGACCATGGTTTTGAACTCGAACAACATCATGTTAATCATGAACAACAACAACCTCAAAAGGGTACGAGGTTGTCGTCCAAAGAAGATGAAGCATCGGTTGAGAAAGTGTTTAAGCACTTATTGGTTCCAACATGGCAGAATCAATTAACTTTAAGAGCTTTTGTGGTTAGCTTTTTTCTGAGCGTGCTTTTCAGTTTCATTGTGATGAAGCTTAATCTCACAACTGGGATTATACCGTCACTGAATGTGTCTGCTGGTCTTTTGGGATTCTTCTTTGTGAAAACATGGACAAAGTTTTTGGAAAAATCAGATATGTTGAAAAAACCTTTTACAAGACAAGAGAATACTGTTATTCAAACATGTGTTGTTGCTTCCTCTGGAATCGCATTTAGTGGTAAACTTCCTTTTATTTTCACTCTCTTGAATCTATGAATTTATTATATTTTCACTGTTTAATTATCTGCATACAACAAAATTTTATACCATATTAACTAATCAATTATGGTAAACCTTTCATTATTTTTTGTTATCAACCTTTCATTATCTGGAAAATACAAACCTTGGAATATTCAAAGTCATGCATGAATTTAGTCCATACCTTAAAAGATAAGTACATATTTTTCTTGTGATTATATGTTTCAACTTATACCAAGAACTGTGGAAATAAAATGAGGTTGTATTTATCTGACCAAATCTTTGGTAGGATTTAATTTTTCTAAAATATGATAGGAGCAGAAAGCATAAAAGTCAAATTATACTATTCATCGTAGTACTAAAAATTAAAATTATTGTTTATATGTAATTAATGGCTTCACATGTGTATAAAGATGTGAACGAAAAAGAACCTCATATAATTTAAATTGGGTGTTGATTTAGTATGAATACCTTAAAATTATAAAAAAAAATTAAAATTTTTTTGACTATCTCTTGTAAAGTTGAAGATAATTTGTCTCAAATGACATCTTTCAATGAAATTTTCACAAAATTAAAATTTTAAAATCACATATTAATTAAAAAATTTAAAGAATTAAAATTAAATCAAGAAAAAAAAAATAATTTGATCTTTGAGTACTAAAATATTGATATGTCAAGTGTGAATAATAATTTTCATATTAGATGAAAAATAAGATATTGAACATTTTTTAAGTGAAAAGAAACATAGATACAATGTCTTAAAATTTTGGATTAATATATGATTTTAAAATTTTATTTTATGTGACAAAATTTCATTGATACAAGTCATTTAGAATAAATTACCCTCAATTTTACAAAAAAAATTGTCTAGACCTCACTTTTTTTTTTATATTTTAATTTTAACTTGCTATCAAAATCAAATCATATTAGGAATTCATTTAGTGTTGTATATAGTTTTTATTGACATTTAGAAATTGTTGCAAATGTAACTTGCAACACAAATAAAGTGTCACAATTTTTAAGTTTTGATTAATTAACTGTAATCTAATTTCATTTTAATAATATTTCTCTCTCTTTCTCTCTCTCAATCATTCTCTATTCTCTCTTAATTTCATCAATTTGCTAGTAATTTAAAATATAAGTTACCCAACAAATTGGTATCTAGACCACTAGTTCAATCCTTAATTTTCATTCATGGCTAATGGAAGTACAACCGACAACCAATTCTCAGTCAATCTACCAATTTTTAAGAGAGAATGTTATGATAGATTGTGTGCTTTAAGAGAGAATGCTATGATAGATGGTGTGCGCAGATGAAAGTCATATTCAGATTTTAAGATGTGCTTGAAATAATGAATGACAGTTTCTCGGTATTACATGCAAATGCTACTAAGGCGCAAAGAGTTACTCATCATGAAATGAGCAAGAAAGATGAGAAAGGATTGTTCTTGATCTATCAACGTGTGGATTTAAATGTATTTGAGAAGATCAGTAAGCAAGAAACAACCAAAGATGTGTGTGATACTCTCAAGAAGTTGTATGGTGGTGATGAGAAATTAAAGAAAGTCAAGATGCAATCCTTGAGAAAACAATATGAGAATTTTCAGATGAAAGAGGTGAAGCAATTGTCGAGTTTTTCTCAAAATTGGTGGTTTTGACCGATCAAATGAAGTCATATAGAGAGAAGATTTCTGAGTTATGGAAAGTGGAAAAGGTTATACGAAGAAGAAGTGGAATGAAAATGATGGTGCAGGAAAGAACTCAATAAGTCAGTGTGAGACAAGCAAGAATGGTGCTTATAATAATTTGGAATTCAAAATGAAGGTGGAGATGAAGGAAGTCCAATGATATTGTTGCCAAAAATGTAGACATCATGCTATGGATTGTTACTTCAACAAATAATTGAAGGAGAATGACAAGGGATTAACACAATTTGCTCATGCTTGATATTGTGACCGAAGTCATTTTGATGGTTGATACACAATTGACTCAAGACAAAACAAATGTTTGGTACCTTGACACAAGGTGCAACAATCATATGACTGGTAATAAAAATTGGTTCATCAAACTTGATGAGTTGGTGAGGAGATCCATTAGATTTGCAGAAATTAACATGGTAACTTCATAAGGAGTGAGAGACATTCTTGTGATTAAGAATGATGGACAATAAGCTACCATATGTGATGTGTTGTATGTTTCTCATATGGTAAGAAACTTGATCAGTTTAGGTCATTTGTTTGAGAAATACTATACAATGAAGTTAGAAGATAAAGAACTCAAGGTTTTTGATGAAAGTTCCAAGCAAATCTTGAATTCACCTTTGCCAACCAACACAATATTCAAGATTATGATCAATATGCCAGACCATCAATGTCTTACATCAATCACAGTTGGAGATCAAAATAACATAAGAGGGTTAGCCATCTCAACTTTATGAGTCTCAACTTGATGCACATAAAAAAAGTGGTGTATGGCCTTCCCAATATCACAATGCCAAAGTAGCTATGTGAGGAATGTTGCATTTCAAAGCAAGAAAGAAGGCCATTAAAACACGACTTTTCAATGAAGCCACAATAAAAATTAGAGATAATGCATTCAGACGTGTGTGGTCTTTTTGAAGTGAAGTCACTAGGAGGTAACTTCTATTTTTTAACCTTCATAGATGAATTCACTAGATATGTATGGTTTTACATTTTGGAGAAGAAAAATGAGGTGTTTACCAATTTCAATATATTCAAGCTGCTAGTTAAGAAATATGATGAATGTGAAATCAAAGGTTGAGAATTGATGGTGGGGGTGAGTACACCTCAACTGATTTCGCTCAATTTTGTGAAAAGAAAGGGATTGAGCATGAAGTTATAATACCTTGCACATCTCAATATATTGCATTGTTGAGAGAAAAAACATAAGTAATTTTGAACATGGCAAGAATCATGCTAAAGGAAAGGAAAATGTCGAACCATTTTAGGGTGAGGTTACTTATATTATTGTCTACATTATTAATATATGTCCAACAAAGAAGTTGAACATTAAGACACCTTATGAAGTTTGGTCTGACCTGAAACCAAGTGTTAGGCGCTTCAAGATTTTGGCTCATTGTGTTACATACAAGTACTTAAGAAACTCATACGGAAGTTTGATGATATGGGACAACTCATGATTTTTGGTTGTCTACCATTTTCTTATAAGTTGTTCTCACCAATTGAGAACAAGGCGACTATTAGTAGGAATGTGGAATTTTGACAAAATCGAAGGATGCAACTATCTCAATATAATGCAAGATGGTGAAGGTTTAAGTCTCATTATAACCACTCTATAAGATGATGAACAAAGTAGAAATTGAGACTGAACCTACACAACCTCATGAGGTACGATGATCAATAAGAGCTAGAACTCAATCAATCAGACTTAATGATTATGAAAGATTTTAAGAACAAGCCATGCAATAAAATGGTGAGCTAATTGAAGAAGACATGATGGTTAAATTAGAGTCAATAAATCATGTTCAAGCCATGAAATATGAGAATTGGCAAGATGTAATGATTGAAAATATCAAGGCATTTAAAAGAGAAAAACTTGGGAATTGATCAATTATTCAAGAAAGAAGGCAATAAATAGATATCAAGTGGATTTTATAAGCTGAAGTTGAAGCCAAATGGTGAAATTTCCAAGCATAAGGCAAGATTGGTGGCAAAAGGCTTTCTTCAAAAGTCTGACATTGATTTCAATGAAGTCTATGCACTAGTTTCTGAACTTATTACCGTAAAACTGGTTATAGCCATTGCAATATATATAGGTTGGAAGATCCACCAACTTGATGTAAATTGAGTCTTCCTCAATGGACCTCTAGAAAATGAAGTTTATGTGAAGCAATCGCCTAGTTTTGAGGTGAAAGGGCAAGAGAATTTGGTTAACAGATTGAGAAAAACATTTTATTGATTGAAGTGAGCACATAGGACATGGAACAAGAGGATTGATAGCCTCTTGATCAAGATGGGTTTCAACAAATGCACATCAGGACATAAAGTATATGTGAAAGGCTCATGTGAACAAGAACAAGTCATCTTATGTCTCTATGTGGAAGATCTATTGGTCATAAGTTATAATGAAGATGAATTGACAAATTTCAAGGCAAACATGGAGTATGAGTTTGTGATGTCATACTTAGGAAGTTTGGCCTAATTTCTAGGAATGGAAAATGTGAATACAAAGAATGGAGTTTTCTTGCATCTGATGAAATATGCAGAAGACGTCCTAATAAAGTTTAAGATGAGCAATTGCAATCCTGCAAACGCATCTATGGAGATCAACATAAAATTGAAGAAGGATCCAGAAGATGAACTAGTGGATAACACTTTGTACAAGCAAGTCATTGGCTCATTGAGGTATCTTTGCAATACAAGGCTTGATATTTGTCATTGTACGGGATTGGTTAGTAGATTCATGGAAATACCAAGGTTATATCATCTATGTGCAACAAATAGGATCCTAAGGTACATTAAAGGTACAACAAACTATGGAGTACTCATGTCAAATCAACAAAACAGAAGAATGGAAGCCAAGGTGTATGATTATTATATTCAAATTGAAGTGGCGATCAAGATGATAGAAAAAACATGGTTAGTTACTTGTTTATTCTTGGATTAACTTCAATCTCATGGATTTCAAAGAAGTATGGAATTGTTCCTTCAACAACTGTGAAAATCAAGATGCTAGTGAACAATCAATTAGAAATATGTACCATTTTCTTAGGGATCAAGTTGATAAAAAGAGGTTGAGCATTGAGCATTACAAGACTAAATTATAATTGACAAACATCTTGACAAAGTCTTTAAAACATACAAGATTTGAAGGCCTTAAAATATTAATGGGAATGAGGAGTTTAGAAAATATGAACTAGAAAGGATATTAGGAATTTATTCATTTTCATATAAGGCTATTAGTGACACTTAAAAGTGTTGCAAGTGTAACTTGCAACACGAGCAGAGTGTCACCATTTTCAGTTTTAGTTAGTTAATTAGTGCTTTATTAACCATACAAATATCTATCTCTTTATACGTTTAATTCAATTTCATTCTAATAATACTTCTCTCTCTCAATAATTCTCAATTCTCTCTTAATTTCCTCAATTTGCAGGTAATTTAGAACATAAATTATCCAATAAATAAGACTATCAAAAATACTTTGCGTCGTCCAAATAGTGACTTTGTGGAATCTAATTCCACTCATGAATTCCACCACAAGGACTTATAAAAGTTGAGTTTGATAATGAGCTACTCAAATCTTTGAAAAAGCAAAAGAAAAAAAGTTAAATTAAACTAGAAATTATGATGTGTGTGTTTATGCACAAATCTTCTTATAGTATTGTTTAATTTTAATACATGTCTTCTGAGAAGAGGGTATTTTGAGTTTTTACTAGTAAAATCATTTGACTTTATGTTTTTAGCGGTAGATTTCCAATTAAATTATTGACCAATTGAATTTAGATAAAATAAAAACTGAATTCAATTTTATCCGAGTTAACATGTAATAAATTCTCCAAAAATCGGTTAGAGTTTAAAACAATTTTACCTAATTTTAAAGAAACCGATTTTTGTTTTATTAAGTTATTTTAACTTTTAACAACTTTAAACATTAATGAAATCTTCCCTATTCCAATTTGATTTTTTTTTTTGTGTGATTCACTTGTATGAACAGGAGGATTCGGGAGTTACCTATTTGGAATGAGTGAACATGTGGCCAAACAATCCTCAGACACTAGTGATTTTAAGAATCCAAAATTGGGATGGATAATTGCTTTTCTTTTTGTTGTTAGCTTTTTGGGACTCTTCTCAGTTGTACCTCTCAGAAAGGTATGACAAACTCTTGAAATATAATAATACTCGACATAAAACATATCTAACACCGATATATATGATTATATGACTCGAATTGACTCTAATCAATAATTACATGCAATCGCTATATTGATGGTAAATAGATGGAGATAAGAACCAATTAAATTTTAATTTAAATTTAGATTCTTTTTAAAAAGGCGATGTACTAACCATGTGAATTCATGAAATTGGTGAGCACAAGAAATCTAGATCCTAATGACTCTTCAAATTATTAATAGTGTCGATGTGGCTATATTTGTCTGGTATCCGATGGAATACCTTAACACGCAAGGCAACACGCTTAAAGAGGGATAGAAGAAATTAGGGTGAGTTAGAATGAAATTAAGGAAAGGATAGTGCTTATTAGAATGATCTCATTGAGTTACAAAGAATAGAGAGTATATAACAACCAAGGAATCAACTAACTAACAATTTTTCTAACTGTCAAAGGTGTGACAGTTTGCTTTGTTACAAGTCACTTACTTGTAACACAATCAAACTGCCACTATAGTTGATTAAATGTTGCTTATGTGATTGGATGTAGATTATGGTCATTGACTTCAAATTGACATATCCAAGTGGTACTGCAACTGCTCATCTCATCAACAGCTTCCATACTCCTCAAGGAGCCAAACTAGCAAAGTAACCATTATACTCAATATTACTTACTTAGTATATGTGAACTTATTATATGTTAGGCTTTTCAATTAATTTTTTTTCTGACTTTTCCAGGAAGCAAGTGAAATTGTTAGGAAAATTCTTCAGTTTGAGTTTCTTATGGGGTTTCTTTCAATGGTTCTATACAGCTTCTGATGGCTGTGGATTTCAAGCCTTCCCTTCATTAGGCCTCAAAGCATTTGATAACAGGTAAATAAAAAAGTAATATACTTCGAATTAGTCTCATTATAATTTGGGATATTGATCTAGCTTCATTAATTTGCAGGTTTTATTTTGATTTCTCTGCACTTTATATTGGTGTGGGAATGATTTGTCCATATATCATAAATATATCGGTGCTCCTTGGAGGAATTCTTTCTTGGGGAGTAATGTGGCCTCTCATAAAAACCAGAGAGGGTCATTGGTACAAAGTTAACCTCGGTGATGGCAACCTTCAAGGAATCCAAGGTTATAGGGTAAGTTTCCCCGCGCAAGGCACGTTTAGTATCACTATATTCTGCGTGAGAAATGATATTTTGACACATACTTTTTCCAGATATTTATAGCCATAGCAATGATCCTTGGAGATGGTTTATACAACTTTGTCAAGGTGCTAACTCACACCTTATTAGGTTTGTTTAATCAAATTCGGAACAAACAACGGGCGGACGCTCTACCTGTCGCAAATCCAGACTCTTCTTCTATTTCTGAGCTATCATACAACGATCAGCGCCGGAAGCAATTCTTCCTTAAAGATCAGATTCCTATATGGTTTGCAGTTGGAGGATATGTTGCTATTGCTTCAATCTCAACAGCCACATTGCCACACATATTCCCTCAACTAAAATGGTATTACATACTTGTCATATACCTAATTGCTCCAACCTTAGCATTTTGCAATGCATATGGTAATGGATTAACTGATTGGTCCCTAGCATCAACCTATGGAAAACTTGCAATCTTCACAATCGGTGCGTGGGCTGGTGCATCACAAGGTGGAGTTCTCGCTAGTCTAGCAGCCTGTGGAGTTATGATGAACATTGTCTCGACAGCTTCTGATCTCATGCAAGATTTCAAAACAGGTTACTTAACCTTGGCTTCTCCGCGTTCTATGTTTGTGAGCCAAATAATCGGCACAGCAATGGGTTGCGTGATCTCTCCTTGTGTGTTTTGGATTTTCTACAAAGCTTTTCCTGATCTAGGGACACCTAAAAGTCGTTACCCCGCGCCAAACGCAATTGTGTTCCGCAACATGGCAATACTCGGAGTCCAAGGATTCGGTTCTTTACCGAATAATTGTCTCTTGCTTTGTTATATATTCTTTGGCGCAGCGATTGTGATAAACTTGATTAAGGATTTGGTTGGTAAAGTAGGGAGGTTCATACCACTTCCAATGGCGATGGCGATACCTTTCTATTTAGGACCTTATTTTGCCATTGACATGTGTGTTGGAAGTTTGATATTATTTGTTTGGGAAAAGGTTAACAAAGCTAAGGCTGATGCTTTTGCGCCTGCTGTTGCTTCTGGTTTGATATGTGGTGATGGAATATGGACTCTTCCTGCTTCAATGCTTGCTCTTTTTGGAGTTAAGCCACCCATTTGCATGAAGTTCTTGTCAAGGGCTACAAATAGTAGGGTTGATACTTTCTTAGGAAATTAAGGTCAGAACCTTCTTTTTTTTTTACCTCTATAGCTACTTCAAAAGTATACTTCTAGAAGAAAAAAATACGGTTTTTTGTGTCCAGAAATATACTTTCGAAGACGTGTGTTTTTTTTTAAAAAAATCTTGAGGGTGAAGAAAGAACATCTCATTAAGGCCAAGTTTGAATTTTGCTTGGTATCTTGTGAAAGTTTAAAAAGTTGATGCAATATAAATCTATCAAATGTTACTTTAAGTTTGCAATATTATTTGTGTTGATTGTTAGAAGAGAGGTATTAGAAAGAAATATGTGTGTATGGTTTGATTGTAATTTGTTGTTCCTCAACCAGATCAATCTTTCTTTTCGAACCAGCAAGCTGCAACTTCTGACCAGAAGCTGAGTTAGTAGAGATAAACAACCATGAACCACGTATGTATCCTTTGAAATATTTGATCAAAGAGGTAAAATAAATTGATAACGGAATGTCAGTTTCAAGAATGAATCCACCTTTCTCGAATTCTTGTCTCAAAGACAAAGGAAATAACATGAATGGTAAAAAAAAAAACATGTTTTAGAAATAATCCTTCCACATCACATTTTTTCTACCTCCTGAGAAGGAGTATGATAGAGTAGGCATGTTCATGATTCATAAACTACATTAAACCAAATTACGTTTATAATTTGGTTCAGTTTATAATAAACATTTCAATATAATTATCTGATAAAATGATTTCAATTCAATTTAAAACTAAATTAGAATCAATTTGTATTTATAAACTATAATTTATAATCAGTTTGTAATTATAAATCAAATTTATATCTTAAATAATTTTAAAATCAATTTTTTAATTTCATAAAAAAAATTTAATTTTTAAAAATAAAAAAACATATTTTTAGAATACATTTTTTCAAAATAAAAGAATAGTTTTCAAAATAAAAAATTATTTTTATTTTCGAAAAAAATTATATATATATTTTTCTTCAGAAGAATTTTTTTTATTGTCGAAAAAATTCTATTTTTTATTTTCCGAAATTTTTTTTGAAAAGAATATATTTTTTAATTTTTGAAAAAAAAATCATATTTTATTAAATTAATAGAATTTTTTTTTTTAATTTTCAGAAAAAAAATTCACAAACTTTTTTTTTGGAATATAAATTAATTTTTTCTAGATTATTTTTTATTTTTTAAAATAAATAAATTTTGTAATTTTAGAAGAAAAAAAGTTATTTTCAGAATTTAATTTTCCTTCTTTTTTATATGAGAAACTAATTCATATAATTAAATCAATTTATAAAAAAAACTGATTTTGAACCGATTTTAAACTGAATTAAAATTGTTTAAATTAAATAGTTCACTTTATTAACCATTTAAGTGGTTCAACTTTTTTATGGTGCAATGCAATTCAATTTAGTAATATAATTTGGTTAATCATATTTTTGCACACCCATAATGTAGAGCCAAGTCTAGTACCTGTTCTTTTGATACATGATAATTCCAAATAACTTCATTCAACCCTATAAAATGAAAATGAAAACTTACCTCATAAGTTATCAAAACCTAACATGCTGGATCAAACGTACTAAAATTGATAAACAAGATTTAGATTAACAACTTGTCATGTTCACCAAAGACTTCACGAAACGAGGATTATGCGAAGAGGCCTCATATTATATGAAGACAATGTTGGTATATGAACTATGAGTATGAGTTCCTATCAGATGAAAAAATGAATGTTGGACATTTTATAAGTGAGAAGGCAGATATACCCAGTGTCTTAAAGTTTTGGGTTAATATGTGGTATCTCTCTCATTGTGTGGTTGCTCCTAAAGTCCGATGTGATGATTCCTGGAATCCCTCATGACCCAACAGTGGTATAAGAGTCTGGTTTTGTCGCGGCTTCTTGTATCGAAAGTCTTCCTGACAAGGGTGTTCAGGCGGCATGTTCCGTTGAGGTCATCTAACAATGGTGCAAGTATATATGGATAAAAAAAACTTCCATTTGAAGGGGAACATTGCCCATAAAATGGATGGACTCACACTTCCGAGGGAGATAGTGGATATATCAAGTGAGATTATGAGTCCCACATCGGATGGAAAAGTGGATGTTGAACACTTTATAAGTAAGAAGACCCATAGACCCAATGTCCTGAGGTTTTTGGTTAATATATGGTGTCTCTCTCACTTGTGTAGTTGCTCCTAAAGCCCGATGTGATGATTTCGGAACCAATTGTGACCTAACAGGCGGGAACCTTCTGGCGTTTAACAACTCCACCACTCTCCCTTGTGAAGTTGTGAAGTTACCGGTTTCTGTTGGAAAAATGAAGGATGAAAGGATTGTTGATGAAGGGCTATCAGTGCACGTCATTTAGAAAGAAAAATCATTGATTTCTGACAAGAATTGAGCAAGGTAAAACCATTTAAGTGAAAAAAGCTGAAATAAGTGTTTTTGGGTGTAGAAAAGGATTTAGTGTGAAAAGCAGTGAAAAAAGGATAAAAATACGCTGGAGTCTCTAAAATTCATGCGCCCAAAACATGCATGTGTTGTAGGATAACATGCTCGTGCTAAAAAGTTGTGCGCCTGTGTTGAAAGGATGATTAGATAACACACCCACATTGATAACTGATCAAGACTTAAATGACAATGCGTTGAACTACTTGCCTAACACGTTTTTCCGTGGCTATAAAAGGGAAAGAAAGAGAAGAAAAAGAGGTTATATGACCAAGACTTCAAAGTGACGTTTTGTTGCGATTTTAGATCTTTTGAAGACCATTGAATCCATTGGAGAACTCATTCTTCAGTGATTTTTTATGTTCTTCTCGTCTAAACTATTGGTATTGTTTTAATTCAATATGAGTAGATAGATTTCCTCTAGGTTAGGTCAAATTTGATGATGAACCTATTTTTGCTTGATTGAGACATATGATTGGATGATGTTAATGTTATTGTTCTGACTTATTATTATTATTCAGTTAATGTTTATGCTCATTGCCTTTTAATTGTTACGACTTTTGAACTGATTTTGATAGTAGTGACTATTGACCCTAGGGCTATTTATATGAACTACTTAACTGTTGGATTCTCTAATTGACTAGGGATAGTATGATTAGGAATTGTGACTAAGGGATCAACGAGCTTTCTTGCTTAATCTGACAGGACAATTGGCCTGAGGGATCGGGGAGTTAACGCCTAGGTTAGTGAGCTATACGCCAAGAGATTGAGTATAGTGGTAAAGTTAATATGTCATGTAACTTTGTAGTCAGTTCCTGTCTGTTAATGCGTGTTTCATCAATCAAGTAGAAATCAGGGATTCTGATAAAACAACCTGATCGCTTTTCTATTAATCGCTTAAAACTTTGTTCTTGCGTTGTTGACTAAAGAAGCTTACAAAACTCCTAATTTACTATTTTACTTTAATCACACAATATTCCTTGTTTTAGATTCGCAATCCCTATGGAGACAAATTTATATTTTATTACTTTGATAACATAGATAGTACACTTGCTAGTAAATTGTCATTAAATTTTTGACACCGTTGTCGAGGATTACTGATATTTTTAACAAAGCATAATGTGTGACTTGTCTTATTATAATTTGAAATTATAGCACTTGTAACACTTGTTCATATTGTTATCTCAACATCAGAACAATGTCAAGACAAATGTTACAACATTTGGAAACAGACCAGACTTATCAGACTGAACAGATACTGAAACAAAAAACTGCATAATGATAAATAACACAAAGAGTTGTTAACCCAATTTGGTGCAACATCACCTACATCTAGAGACTACCAAACCAGGAAGGAAATCAACTATTAGCAGTGTCAATTCAAATCCTAAACAGTTCCAGTTTACAACTTCTCACTTAATCACTATCCATTACAACTTCTACCTAGAAATCATCATCTAGATATGAGAAATCTCATCTCACTCCCTAAATCACCTCAGTGATATCTAATAGTCTCAATCCTAGTGACTATATCAAGAATATTACACTTCAAATACAAAACTCAAACTCTTTGCTTAAAAGCTTTAAGAGTAAGAATAGTAACTTAACAAACTGTCAAGTAATAATCAGTCTACCACATAGTATCAAAAGATACATGGGTGACTTACAACTACACAAGAGACTCTCAAAATATAAGACTCTACGCTTCCCCTGATTTACAAATTATTGAAAGTTCAAATTACACGACGTTAGGTATTCTCTTTAAATACACTTGTTGTACCCCAAAATTTACCCTCTCATTTTCTCGAGAAAATCACTCTAGATTTTCAGAATCAAATCTCTGAAATCATATTTCATCAAAACATGTTGGAATATGAAGTTTGTATCATCAAAAAGTTCAAAAGCCAAATTTCTAAATACTTGGAATTTTTCTAAGTATTTAAGAAAAATGACACTTCAGAACTTCTGAGTCAGCCTCCAGACAGGTGCAGTCAGAAGTTGTAAACATGGTTCAACACATAGTCTTCAGTCAGAACATGGCTCTTCAGCATCTACGCAAGTTCAGTCAGAGTTTGCTGGGTTAATGCCAAGAAGGTGATAAAGCGTAATACGAAGCCTGAAATCTCCTTCAGAACATGCTGGAGCCAGAAGGTAAGAGGATCAGAAGATTGGATACTGCGCTGAAGCAGAACTTCTAATCCAGAGTTTTCAAAGGTAAATCAAAGAAGGTTACTGGAAAACTTGGGGAATGCTTCAGAGTATGCTGAGGCAACAAGATACTAAGATCAGAAGTAGGGTGTTTTGTTCTAGACTACGCTGAATTGGAACTTCTGATCCAGAGTTAAGCAATGATGCAAAATCTCATCATCATTTAATGCTCATTAATACTCACAACCACTTTTGAGTCTTTGTCCAAAGGATCTCTCCACGTGTAGTGTAGGAATACTTTTATACAGGATTAGGTAAGGGTCCATGTGCTACCTTTTGCTTGTGGGTTCACTTTTCCTTAATCCCTGCTTGCTAATCTAGCCTAAGCTAAAAAAAACTGTCAACTATCACACCTTTTTTGG